AACTGGACTGAAGTATGGAAGACACTTTTTAGTCACAATTTAGGCAAGCCGCCAGAACCAAAGTTTACTGTCGGAGAAAGTGTTAGGATTTCAAAGTACAAATCAGTGTTCACAAAAGGGTACGAAGCAAATTTCACAGAGGAGTTATTCACTGTGACGGAAGTGTATCACGGCCATCCAAACACGTGCACAATAAAAGACAGTGCTGATGAACCAATAATTGGCAGATTCTATGAACAAGAACTGTATAGCGCTGAAGGAAGAGAACCTGATTTCAGAATAGAGAAAGTATTAAGGAGAAGAACAGTGAAGGGTAAAAAGATGGCCCTAGTTAAGTGGTTAGGTTATGATGACAAATTTAACAGTTGGATACCAGCTGGAGACATCAAGTCCCTAACATAAGTTAAAGTATTATGGACGGTGCAGAGGACTATGATGATGAATACGAAATGGAGGAGAAGACGTATCCCCAATATGACGACCTTAGTTATGATGACCTAGCAACAGCTTTTAGTAGGTTAGATACAAAGGTGAAGGGAGAGGCTATGTATGGTGATGATCCTATAGTGATAACCAATCTTAAAAGTGAACTGGACTATGTAAGGAATCTCATGGAGAGACGTGCAATAGCAGAAACAACTTTCACCGAGGGAAGTGACGGAACCGTGAACATTTCAGGTCCATCAGGAAACACAACTGTTCCAGGAGTCAACTTCGTGGAAGACCCAAACAATGTACTTCCAGACGTGCTAGATGCATTCAACGAATCATTTGACACTGACTGGGATGAAATAGAAGCCCGCCTAGAAAGACTAAATAAGATTTCAACAGTAAATAAAAAGAGAGATTTTGAAAACCAAGTGGAGCGTGTTCAAGCTGTCACAAGAGTTATCAAGGGTAAGGAGGGACTAATACTAGACCCTAGGAATAGATATGTCAGGGAACTCATAAAACGATCATCTGTAAGAACACTCAAGGATGGCACAGAGGTGTTGGTATTTAGAAGTGAACAAGGTATTAACAAAAGTGGGACACAAATAATGAAACGTGGTAAGACCAAGACTCCAGTGTACTCAAAGGACTCACTTGCTCTGAGAGAATATAAGGACCTTCTAGAGAAAATAAATGAGGTACCTATGAATCCTGACAATATAATTGGAAGTGATGAATCAATTTATGAGGATACTAAAGAAGAGCCGCAATTTGATGAAAGTGGTGAGGAATACGCTGACCGTGAGAACATTGAGTTAATAGATATAGGTGCAAAAGTAGGAGACCTTCCAGGGCTAACAATGCAAGAAAACAATGAACTGAGAGGTGTTCTTAACCCACCTGATGGATCAAGCATAGAAGGCAGAACAGGTCCCAATGGAGCGTTACAAATACAAGCGGACTACTTTAATGAAGCTATTGGTGAAACCGTGGAACGCGCCACGTTAGCGGAAGGTACAACTGAGTATAATTTCCTTCTAGAAAGAATTGACAGTTTGAAGGAAGCTAGGGATAGGACACTAGAGCAGGGAACAGTAGAGGAAGCAAGAGAGGCACAACAAAAGGACATTTCTAGATTACGTAAGTTTGTGAAATGGTTAGGGGAGGAGAAGGTGGGTCTAACTGGAATAGCAATATCAACAGCAGGTCTAATAACAACTCTTCTTGTCCATGCTAGGGGAGCCATTGTGAAGACAGCAAAGGCCACTGGTAAAGTAGCAAAAGCATTAGCAAATTTAGCAAAGAAGGCAGGGCCAATCCTAGTTCCAATCCTGAACACCATTGCAACGGCGCTGACGTGGGGAGCCAAAGGAATTGCTTGGTTAGCGTCACACTTATGGGTATTAGCTGTAGCAGCTGCCCTACTTGTGTACAACCATTACAGCAAGTAAAGTATAATAATGGCTGAAAGCGTAGAATACAAGGCAGCATGGATGGAAAGGGTAAGTATCATTCTTGATGAATACAATAGTGAATACTATGAGATCTGGGAAGGATACCTAGGAACCGAAAATTATATCCTGGCTATAGGGAAATGAATCCTGAAGATATGGACTCTGAAATAGAAGTTCTACGAAGGAAGGTAACGGGACCGGAGCAATCAGAAGAGAAAGAGGATATTAAAAGAGAAATCGAATACGTCAGTCAGCTAAGAAGAATGAAGACCTGGAAGAATTCAGAAACTGAGGCCTATTTAAACATGACCCATAGTACTCTCAAGGAAGAGGTAAAAACATTAGTTGTACTCAGGAGAATAGCTAAGGTTGAAGTTAGAAGGAATGACTACTCAGGAAAAATAGATAGATTGAAGGGTATTATAGAAAACCTAGGTTTCAATCCTAATGAGCCCGAGGAAGAGTTAGAAGCAGAGGAAGAAGAACGTAGGAAAGAAGAAGTTAGGAAGGAGGAAGAAGACCGTAGGAAGGCTGCCGAGTTAGAACGTAAAAGACTTGCAGAAGAAGCTGCCGAACGTCAGAGAAAAGCTGAGTTTGAGCGTAAAGAAGCTGAGATTAAAAGACACCAGGAATCTATAAAAGGTGATAAGGAGAAAACAGAGTATTGGAGAAAAAAGCTCGAAGAATGGGAAAAAGAGAAGTCTAAACCCAAGGAAGAACCTAAGGAAATCCCGAAGAAGCCTCAACCTGAGGAAGAGCCTAAGAAACCCAAGACAGGAAAACCTTACAGAGGCAAAGAGCCTAAGAAGCTTGATAGAGGTAAGAAGACTGAGGAGCCTCTACCTGGGGTAGACACTGAATGGCTAAAGGATACTTTCAACTTTGAGAACCTCCTATTCCAGGTCGCAGAGGATACTATCCCAGAAGATGATCAACCTATATTTAGCGGTGATAGTACGGAAATCATGTTGAAGGATGTTAGGGAAGATCTTACGAGGTATGAAAGATTCAAGTCATGGGTTGAGGATAACTTCGGATTTGTGCTTGCAGGTATTATAGTGTCAGTTGCTGCTCTCCTTACAGCTATTATCATACAGGCTAGGAAACTATCCTCAATGGCAGCAAACTCAACTCACAGAGGTGTAGATCCTTCACCGTCACCGTTTCCACTTCCTAATATAGTAAACAAACTGATTAAATTCATATCATCAAACTTATGGGTGGTAGCTGTAAGTATCGTAATAATTTTACTATACATGAACAGCTAAACATTACATATTGTATACAAGTATGAATACCACAGAAAGAGAACTCCAGCCTGGCTTCAGGAGGAGCCGTATGACATCCGTAAAAGGTCCCAGAACTAGAAGTGTTGTAACATTTAATCCAACAACTATTAGCCCAGGTGAAGAGCTGTACATTAACATCCCCAAACTAAAGCCTGACTCTTGTTTAGTTCCAGGATCACTTGCACTATTATTTGACTTCAAAAATTCCAATACAAAAAGCCACTTTAATAATAACCTGTCTAAGTTGATAGCTAAACGTCTTCAGATCAAAGTAGCAGGTGAAACAGCTTATGACTGTTCAGGAGAGAGTTTGTACGAAATATACAAAGATCTATGGCTAACACTAGGTGACAGAAATAAGATGACAGAACAGGGTCTTGCAAGTGAGAATCTCAGGAAGCTGATATCAGGTGATGACTCAGGTGTAAAGGTTGGTGATGCAATAAAGTAGCAGATGGACTTCTCCACAGTGTGTACGGTTCTAAGCTGAGAAAACCAATTGATAAAATAATTGCAGACCATGGACTCTACACACCGTTCTCCATGAATAACAATCCTATGTACATCCTCACACTCCCGCAATCAGATGAGATTATGACTGCTCAAGGAGGTGAAGCTAAGGGTAATTATAAACTGGACAATCTTGAGTTAGAATACGAGACCATTGAGAATGACACCCTTGCAAGTGAAGTATCAAGGATGTATTCAACAGGTCGCTCACTGTCCTACAAACATGTTACACTTATGCGTACAAGTAATTGGGACAAGGATCTTACTATTGTTAATGAAAACATTAATATCCCCAGGAAGAGCATGTCAGCAATTGTCCTTCTATTTACCAATAGAGTGAGGACTGACAGTGAAGAATATATTTACCCAAATATTGATAAAGTGAACCTGACCATTGAGGGTGTACCTAATGCAGTTTTTTCCCAAGGACTTCATAAAAATAGGTTCTTCGAAGAGGCAAAAAGATTCTTCTGCCCTATGTGTGAGAAATCAATGGCAGATGAATTTATGTCCATCAGCAAGTTCTTCACCAACGGTTTCGCTCTAGTAATCGATCTTAGGTCAACACAAGATGATACCACTGGTGGAGGTAAGAAGATTGTTAACACACAATCAGGAGTACTCCTGGAAATCAAAAAGAGAGCCACAACAGCTGACGTTCAGTGCAACATTTTTGTTGTATCAGATGCTCTCCTTAACTTTGCCAATAGAGATCTATCAAGTATTCAATACTAACGGTAAAGCATAGAGATGCAACCATTCAACATGCTCATAGTAGGAATGACTGGAAGTGGCAAAACTCAGTTCCTACTTAATATGCTAGAAACAGAGTACAATAGAGTATTCGATTACATTGTCATTATATGTCCAACCATAGAGTGGAATATGACTTACATTAATTGGACTCATATTAGTGACCACGGAGTTATTCAAATTCCATGCTCACAAGAAATGATCGATCTAGTTCTCAAGGCAGTGTCCACCATATTCCGCGGTACTCAAACTCTCATTATAGTGGACGATTGTGCGGCAAGTCAAGATGTAAAGAAAAGAGTCTCAGAACTGGTGCGCCTAGCATTCTCCGCAAGACACTACAACCTATCTGTCATTGTACTTACCCAGCAATTGTCCTCAGTAGCAAAGCCCTTTAGAGAGAACATTTCCAGGTTAGTTACATTCTACAACCCTAGTCGCAGAGATATGAAGGTTATAACAGATGACTACCTAAGTGGTGTTCCCCACTCCCCAGGAGACAATTACAGAGATTACGAAGATATTAAAAAATGAAAAGTTCACCGCACTGGACGTACTACTTATTCACCCTTACACATACACTGTTAAACTAAACACCGCGTAAAATATAGATGATGGGAACCGAATCCGAGGAAGAAATATTTGAGGCTGTAAGAGAAGTAGAGGAGGCCGCAAAGGTGCCGCAGAAAAAAGCAAGAAAAACTAAGTCTACTGCAGATAAGTCACAAACTGAACACAAAAGGGACAAACTTATAGAGCTATCGAGGGATGGTATAATAGAGAAGTCCGCAAGTTTTATAAGAAAGTCTAACAAGGATGTTGTAGATAGACTATACCATGAGTACGAAAGTCAGAGAATGTCATGTGCAAGTGACTTCTTATCAACACTTATTATTTCAAAGTTTGCTTCCGTATTAGGAAGTTTTGGTGCAGTGGAATCTTCAGAGAAACTGTCAGAGGAACTACTTAGTGACAAGCTTCTGAAGGATGACGTATCATATCTAACCAGAACGATATCCCCCAACATCCCATTCATAGGGCTCATATCTGGTGGCTGTACAACAGCTAAACATGTAGTTGCCTATAAGTGGAATAAGAAGGAAGTGTCAGAGGAAGCTAAACATATCTTATTACATACAGAATGTCAGGCCACGAGTGGGGAAACGCTTGGGAAGGAACAGAATTTGAAGGCGTAATTGATGAATTGATTGAGAAAACTGATAGGAACAAGGAGCAGCTAGATAAAATTCAGGCAACATTGGATTCACTACAGAGAGATCATGATGCCCTCAAGAACAAGATAATAGGTCCTCTAAAATATGACTTTGAAACCTTTAAGAATGACACAATTAAAACAGTTGTAAATATATACAAGAAATTACATGAAATGCACTAGACACAATATTTTTCTAGTAGGAAGTAAGTAATATTGGGAAGCAGCTGGGTGGGTAGAGGGAATGCTGCTCCATAAATTAAAATAAATTGACCTAAAAATTTTTACACATATAGTATAGAGAAGATGGAGAAATTATTCAGGAACCAAAAGTTGAATGTTAGTGTAAGAATTGTTAAGAGTGGTGAGGAGGTACTGTTCTACGCTAAGGATGTGGCAGAATCTCTAGGGTACTCAAATAAGAAAAAAGCAGTCAGAAACCACGTTTGGGAAGAGGATAAATGCACGCTAGGGTCCATACAAAGGGGGTCCCTCGAGGGACCCACCTTGAACGGTCAGCCTGGTACAATTTTAATCACAGAGCAGGGTTTGTATCAGCTAATATTTGGATCAAAGCTTAACACAGCAAAGGAGTTCAGAAGGTGGGTATTCACCGAGGTGCTTCCATCTATCCGTAAAACAGGATCGTACACACTACCAGACAGAAGGTCACTCAGACATAACCAAATGATCCTCATAAACGAAACGGACCTTCATCATACTGTTGTGAGTTACATTAGGAATAACCACCCTAAGGCTGTAATAGTACCTGGTCTTGGTGAGTATCAGGACACGGTGTCAAAGAGATGTGACGTTGGAAGAAAGGCTATAAAGGAGGCCAGCCAGATCTTATTATAGAAAATCCTGTGGGTAAGTATAAAGGATTAGCAATTGAATTTAAGTCTCCTAAGGGCACTGGGATTACAAGTGAGAAGCAAGCATTATGGCTTGAAAGACTGAGGAAAATAGGGTACATGATAATGATATCTGACGACCTGATAAAAACTTGTACCAGAATTAACGAGTACTTCTCACTTAAGAAAAAAGTGGTGAAGAATGTAGTCAGCAACGTAAAGCTGTACAAACAAAAGTTCAAATCACACAAGTACTAGTTTAGTGGCATCATACTACCAAGTAGATTTGAGACATCTTGCAAGTAAATTCAAGTTATCTCACCAGTTATCTCACCAGTAGATTTAAGTTATCAGTAGACCAGTAGTCAGTAGATTTAAGTTATCAGTAAACCAGTAGATTTAAGTTAGTTTAGTGGCATCATACTACCAAGTAGATTTGAGACATCTTACAAGTAAATTCAAGTTATCTTGTAAGTAGAATTCAAGATATCTCATAAGACGAAACCCAGTTAAACCTAAGGTATCTTACAAGTAGAATGGCAGATAAACCTGAGCAAAATCAAGTACCAGTAACAAGTGAAAAGAAGAAGGACCCAAAAAGAGTAGCCGCAGGAAAACGACTAGCTGCAATCAGTAGAATAGCAAAGGAGAGGAAAAAGAAACTGGCTGAACCAAGGGAGTTACCTAGCAATGACAGTATGATTACCTACATAGGAGTGGCCATTGCATTGATATCTCTTGTGCTAGCATATAAAACACATCAGAGGGAAATAAAGGAACTAGAACCTAAGTTCATCCCTAAAACTGTAGAAGTAACTAGGAAAGCTGATGAGTCCAAGTTAGATTCACTTGAATGATACATTAAACATACCATATATTATAACAAAATGAGTAAAGAATCAAAGATGACTATGGAAGTGTACAATGCAGTGTTACTTACAGCAGGAGCAGTTGGTATATCAATGGCATCAAAGAAACTATTGAAAGAACCATTAGGTACCCCAGAGAATGTAAAAGGAATGGCGAAGTTAGCTGTTTCAGTTAGTCTTTCATCTCTACTAGTCTCCTACCTGAAAGAAAAGAAGTATCTACCAGATGATCCATTCAAAACCTAGGTAAAACTATACAATGGCAGGAGCAGTAGCAGGAGGACTCTTTAATGCATTTGCATTTGCGGGAGCAGGATTTTTGTTTAAAATGTTTGACAAGAATGGATATGCTGAGGAAGCCAAAAGACATAACCTTGCAATGGAGAACCTAACAGCTGAAAGAGAGAAGTACCTTGAAGAGGTCACTGATAGGAGAAACAAAATTGCTCAGCTAAAGTCAGAACTAATTAAGGCAAATAGGAATATCAATTCAACGAACCAGTCACTGGAACTGGTTAGAAGAATCAGTGAGCTAAGACGCAAGCCTATGCCAAGGAAGCCGCAATTAAGTAATCACTACAAACCTAGCTCCGAGATGGGAGAATATATGGCACTATTTGGTTTAATTGCAGGTGGGGCGGTTGGAGGGGCAGCTTATTTAATTCTATAGAAAATACCATAAAAATTTTCACACCTATAGTATAGGGAAATGGACTGGCTTCAAACAGTGACACCAGAGGAAGTAGTAGCCCTAGGAAAAAGGGTAGACACAATAGAAGAGTTAGAAGCTGCAGTCAAAAAGTATGCGGAACTAAGAATAATAAGAAGACGTTTAAATACACCCCGAAAATCAGCAGAAAATTTTCACACTAATAGTATAGGGAAATGGAATGGTTACAGATGGCAACACCTGAGGAGATAGCACATGTAGGTAAAAGGGTAAATACACTGGAAGAGTTAGAGGCTGCTGTGAGGAAGCACGCAGAGAGTAGAATAAAGAGAAAACACACATATGATCCAATATGTAGTGAATGTGGAAGTAAGTCTATTGTAATGATAGATGGAGCAGATACATGCACACAGTGTGGTACTAGTGATATGAGTAACTTCACATACTACGTTAGTTACAACTACAACAAGGACGACGACTACCTGAAAAAGAAGTCTTGCCACAACAGAGTCCGTTGGTTTGAGAGACACTTATTCGAACATGTTGCTTCCAGGGATAGGGACACCATAAGGGAGCAGTTTAGAAGCATCGTAAGATGTATACAAAGACTTAGACTGCAAAGGGGGCGCAACATAGTTAGATACAAGTTTTACCTACTGAGGATAGCCAGTATGAATGGTATAACCTTGAGAAACCCTCCTGAGGATATTAAGACTCAAAGGATTGTGGACATCCTTGAGGATAGGTTGTATGGGAAAGTTTTCGTTGAGCTTGGATGGAAACCTGAGAATTGTAAATATTACAATAAATGGAAAATAAAGAATATAATAAAAATAAATTATTAATTTTATATTAAAAATAAATGATTAATTTAATGGGAAAATAAATGATTAATTTTAATATAATAAATTATTAATTTTAATATAATAATAAAAATAAATGATTAATTTAATGGGAAAATAATTGGGGTAGTTAATTGGTAATAAATTATTAATTAAATACTCCAATTTTTTTTACATATATAGTATATAGGAATAGTTGAAAAATATGGCGAGTTACTTTAACATGAACGAATTCAGTGTAAAACAACTTTTTGCTCTTAACAGCATCCTGGATGACAGCGATAGTGATACAGATGTGAGATTAGAAGACGTCATAAAGGACAGAAACTACAGGATTGCACCTAATGATAAGGGCAAAAGTCCCTTTGAAGGAGAAAGACAATTCGTAGACGAAGTTGACCGTGATATGGAGGTAAAGAAACCTAGACGTATTCCCCTGAACTATAAGGGAAGAAGAGGAATTATGCCAACGTGGAAGTACTCTGACAGGCAAAAGGCAAAGGCCCTACTTGTAGAGGAAGCATACCAAAATCTACTAGCAAGAGGCGTTCAGGGATTACCACCAACAATGGGAGACAGATGGCGCACGGATGATCCTCAAGTAAACGAGGAAATCAAGAGGATTGAAAATGAAAGGAATCCTAAGATAAAGCGTCCCAGAGGTAGACCACCAAAGGTAAAGGCTGATGTTAAGGTAAGAAAGCAAACCGTAGCAGAAAGATTCCTGAGACAAAGGAAGGTAATTAAAACTCTCAGTGCCTGCAGATAGTGTCATAACTCCAACAGGTCCAGGTAAGTTTACAATTTACGTGGATCTTAATAAGAGACCTGTGAGGAAAGCTCCTGAGGTACCTAAGGGCGTAGCTCCATGGAGACCAACACGTAAGCCCAGAACGGTACTTCCTAGGGAAAGACCTGTACCGAAACCTAGAACTAAGCTTCTTAAGGAAAGACCTGTACCGAAACCTAGAACCATTAAAGTAGTGTCTCCTCCTAAGGTCCGTAAGCCTGTAAGGGTGTCGAGGGAAGTCAAGGAGCAGCCTACAGTGGTTACACCAGAGGAACACGAAATAGATCCATTTGGAACAGACCTTGAAAATCCATTCCACAGGAAAATCGAAACAGCCGCAAATGGAGCCGCTGTGACCTACTCGATAACTCCTCATTATATGGACCCTCTGAACCAGATGACTGCAAGTAGACAGGTAGTGAGAGGAATACTTGTGAATGAGTTGAAGAGAATGGGTGGGTTAAAGTACACAGAGACCCTTAAGGTAAGAATGTCAAAGGAAATCGGCAACGGAAAAACAAAGAAGGACTCAGTCTACTTCAAGTCTAAAACTGGTACTGCAACTAACTTCGAGGACATTGAAAGTACAGCTGCTCAAAACCAACTGACAATATTATCTAGAATTGAAACCTTCCAAAACTTAGGTTCAAATTGGATTGTACTCAATATTGAGAGTCATTACGTAAACATCGCAATGTACAAACCATTAAAGGGTAGTTCATATATGAAACTTCCAGGGGACATTAGCAATCCAAAGTGTGGGCTCATCAATATGAAGAACAATGACAACATGTGTTTCCTGTGGAGTCATGTGAGACATCTAAATCCTAAGGCTAGGAGGGCAACCACTATTACACAGAAAGACAGGGATTTCATAACGAACCTGGACTATGATGGTATAGACTTCCCTGTGAAGATAAGTGACATTGATAGAATCGAGAGGAAAAACAGTATCAGCATATCTGTGTTTGGTTATAAGGGTAAGAAACAGTTCTACCCTATAAGGAACTCCAAGGCTAAATATGATGAGCATATGGAACTTCTACTCCTAGGTGATGGTGAAGGTAACAACCATTATGTGCTCATAAAGGATGTTAACAGAATGCTCTTCAGTGTAAGTAAACATACACATAAGAAACACTTCTGTCTACACTGTCTTCATAGTTGTGTGAGCAAAGAGGTACTGGAGAAGCATAAGGAGACATGTCTGGAGGTAAATGGAACTCAGGCTGTAAAGCTTCCCAAGGAAGGGACAAAAATCAAGTTCAAAAATCACAGGAACTCAATGCCTGTGCCGTTTGTGATATACGCTGATTTTGAGTCCATACTGGTGCCTGAGGAGAGAAAAGAGAAGTCAGAGAACCCTGAGGACAAAAGTAGTACAGACCTTTACCAGACACACAAAGCTTGTAGTTTTGGTTTGAAGACAGTCTGCCACTATGACGATAAGTACTCTGGTGAGTATAAGAGTTATGTTGGAGAGGACGCTACATTGGTCTTCCTAAAGACTGTATTGAAAGAGTCCTTCAGATGTAGAGAGATGGTCAACAATATATTCAAGAAAAAGATGGTAATTACACCCAAACAGGAATTCGAATTCCAGGCTGCAAGAAACTGTTCAATATGTGGTAACGATCTTGGTGAGGACAGGGTAAGGGATCATGACCATGTAACAGGAATGTACCGTGGAGCTGCTCACAATATATGCAACCTGAAGTACAGAATTACATGGAAAGTGCCTGTGGTCTTCCACAACCTGAGAGGTTATGATAGTCATCTGATTATGCAGGAAATTGGTAAGTTCAAGATGGACGTCAACGTGATCCCAAATAATATGGAAAAATACATCTCATTCTCACTGGGCAAGAATCTTGTCTTCATAGACTCTATACAGTTCATGGCTTCTTCACTGGAAGCACTGGTGAGTAACCTTTCACCTGAGAACTTCAGGATAGTAGGTAAGAGGTGGAAGGGTGAGGACTTCAATCTAGTGACACAAAAAGGAGTCTTTCCATATGAATTCTTGGATGACATTAGCAAACTTGATACAAAAGGTCTCCCGAGTAGAGATAAGTTTTACTCATCACTGTACGAGTCAGAGGTGAAGGAAGAAGATTACCAAAGAGCTCAGAAAGTATGGGATCACTTTAAGATGAAAACCATGAGAGACTACCACGATCTCTACTTGGAGACTGACGTTCTTCTGCTGGCTGATGTATTCGAGAACTTCCGGAGAACATGTCTGGAAAATTACAAACTTGACCCTGCACATTACATGTCAGCACCCGGTCTAAGTTGGGACGCTTTTCTAAAACAGTCAGGTGAAGAAATAGAACTTGTAAGTGATATGGATATGTTTCAGTTCTTCGAGAAGGGTATGAGGGGTGGTATAAGTTATATTGCCCACAGACACTCAACAGCTAATAATAAGTTCATGGAAACGTATGACGAGTCGTCTGAGAGTAAGTACTTGATGTACCTCGATGCTAACAATTTATATGGTTGGGCAATGTCACAACCACTACCTAACGGAGAATTTGAGTGGGTTGAGGAAGTTGATGGTATGAATCTAGAGGATTACCTGGAAGACAGAAAAAGAGGGATGGTTTTAGAGGTTGACCTGGAATATCCACAAGAACTTCACGATCTACATAACGGTTATCCTCTAGCACCGGAGAGTAAGGAAATCAGTGCTTCTATGTTGTCAGATTATGCGAAGAGTATTGCTGAGAAATTCCAACTGACAATTGGAGGAGTAAGAAAACTAGTGACTTCACTAGGTCCCAGGAAAAATTACGTCTTACATGTACGTAATCTGAAACTGTACACAGACCTTGGGATGAAACTCACGAAGGTCCATAGAGCGGTTACATTCAAACAGTCTCCCTGGCTTAAGGACTATATAGACTTCAATACGAAGAAAAGGTCAGTAGCTCGTAACACGTTCGAAAAGAACTTCTTTAAGTTGATGAATAATTCGATTTATGGAAAGACTATGGAAAATCTTAGGAAAAGGGTTGATGTGAAATTAGTGTCCTCAAAAGACGACCTCCTAAAACTGACGGCATCACCGTGCTTCCAGTCACATCGAATTATGAATGAGAATCTTGTAGTTGTAAAAAGAATGAGAGAAGTTCTAACGCTAAATAAACCGTGTTACGTAGGAATGAGCATCTTAGACTTATCCAAGACTTTAATGTATGATTTCCACTACAACACCATCAAAAAGGAGTACGGTAATAATTCAAGGCTACTGTTCACTGATACTGACAGTCTAATGTATGAACTGAAGACGGATGATGTTTATGAGGACTTCAGGAGGATTGGTGAAGAGCAAGACTGTTGGGACAATTCAGATTATCCAAAAGATTCTCCGTACTACTCAACTCACAACAAGAAGGTTATAGGTAAGTTTAAGGATGAAGCTGAAGGAGTACCCATAATTGAGTTTGTTGGGTTAAGGTCAAAAATGTATTCCTATGTCAAGGAAAACGGTGGGGGTGGAATGACTGCTAAAGGAGTCAAAAAGTATGTCATCAGAAACAAGCTCACTCATGAGAACTTCAAGAACGTAATTAACACGAAAGGTAGGATGAGACATAATATGAATACAATCAGAAGTGTAAAGCATACAATTGGAACTTACGAATTAAAGAAGGTTACTCTGAGTTGCTTTGATGATAAAAGGTATCTTTTGGAGGATGGAGTTACCAGTTATGCTTATGGTAACAAGAATATAAAAAATAGTGACTGAGAAGTTCCCACAGAGTAGAAAGTAATAATCCTAAAGGGTAAATAAGCAGGAAGGGCCCCCTGCCTTGTGTACCCTCAAGGAGGAAATAAAAGATGTCGAAAAGGCTTTGGAATAGGAAGGTTGGACGATATTAGGAAAGTGTAGGATAATCGTATTAGAGTCTCAGCTGGACTGGTAAGGTGATCCCGAAGCTTTGAGATAAGTTAAATGAAAAACAAGAATAGCAGTTTCACATTTCAATTAAATGGACCAACCATTAATTTTAATAAAATAAAAATAAATGATTTTTACTAAAGATAAAAAAACTAGTGGTCTAGAAAAATTGCCAATGGTCTAAACACGCCAGTTCCTATACTACTGTAGTTCAATGACGTCTTAGTACCCTAACCCTACTCCTAACCTTTTTTTGCGTGACTTGGAGTCGGACGTCTTACTCCGGCTTGGAATTGACTCGGATTTGACTTGGTAAATGGATTTACGCTGTCACGATGGCAATTTTTCTCGCGGATTAATTACACGGTTTAGCTCAGTTGTAATTTCGCGCAACAAGACCACGAATTGCGTAAATTCTATTAACTAACATAATATGACATCTCAATCAAATATATTATTAAATATTTGGAGGGTTTTATAGATGGAAATTATCGAGTGGAAATTCTATGTAGCTACTACTGTTCAAAACACGAGCAGGAGTACTTGTTTATCAGGTATAAAACACGAGAGCGCAGCTCTAGTGTTTTAGTCCGGCTGATAAAGCACTCCCGCTCGTGTTTTAAATAGTATACTTACAAGATGAAATTATCGAAGGGGGCAGGAGGGGCAGCCGCCCCCGTTGCCCTTTACCAGGAGGGGCAAGGGGGGCAAAGGTGCCCTTTCAATTTAAAGGATTGCCTTGGCGAAATATAGCAAATTGTCAGAAATTTTAATGCAATTCTTTTGCGAATTTGCTTCAGAAAACGTAAGAAATGCAGTCATTGCGAGCTTCAAGAATACTGAGCACAATCTCCTGGCGGAGAACCCCCTCACACCCCTATCATCCAATAAATTAGAAAACGTGATTAGGTGAAGTTAAACTCCAGATGTTTTGCAAACATCTCTTAGTATATATCAATTCAAAAGTGCCCTTTCACGAAAATCTGCCCCCCTTGCCTTCACATCGTTCCGGCGTCCCTGCATTTATTACACATTCACACTATAAATGTAGAATTTCCACTCGATAATTTCCATCTACAAAAGCCTACAACTGTTATTCAATCGAGTGAGATGCCAGCAAAATCTTCATATTAAAAATATCTAATATATAAATACTATATGCAATCATGCCATCATGAAGTAGTTACATTTGGTGTTTTTGCGAATTCATGAGCCGTGTCAACCTTTTATTAAACCATATTTTGAATTGTATCTTTGCATCTGGACCAGTTGCTGCCCAGGTTTTATTTTGGCATTTATAATGTGGCTTTCTTAGAACATCAGGTTTGTAATACTTCAGTAATAACGTCATTTCATTACGAGGACATTTTGCCTTGATGTCCATAAACATACAATGTTTTAACGGGAATATATCTGTCTTGACATGGTCCTTTTGATATTCGTGATCACGTAAATATACATCGTGCTCGCGATAAACGAATACGTCAACATAAACTCCGCGAGATATCAAACGTGCCCCTGGCAATTTAAAAGAGCAGGGATCGTGTGCACGCTGCGATGTACGTCCCATACAATCCACTCGAGTCCTATGCCGTTCATCTTTGTTCGCGAAATCCTCTTGCACTGCAAGGAATATTTGACTGGAACGATAATTAAACGGTTTTCCAGAACGAATAACGCGCACTTTTTGATAATTTTTCCAAGTTACGCACACGTCAATGTCTCGGTCATAGGGTATTAAATCCCCGTCTCTTAACGAACCAATCAGAGAACCGCCGCATAGAAAACTGGATAAATTATAGTAATTATCTAAAGCCATCCAGTAATTAAACAAATACTTAAGTGTTTGCTTATGAGGATTAGCAGGGCAATTTGAACCATATATACTTTCTGTAACTATTCCTGAATTATTTGACCGTCTTTTAGAAATCATAGTTTTATCATTTTGAATCTTACTAATTTTGGATGTTGTACTTTTGTATTTGTTAGCACTATAGCCCAAAATCTTTGTCCAAGACCAAGTATTGACTATTTCATTGTCTGCGCTACTCTCCATTAACTGTTGTCTATTCTGTAGTTCGCGCGTTTTGAGAACAGCTGACAATGCCAATGGCGACTTGACAAGCGCTTTTAAAAAGAGCAAGACCACACAGAAAAAAATCACTTTTAAAATCCACTCTTTACTACTCTTCCTTAAAGCCATGTAACGCATGTTAGATTGCACGAGGCTTTTCATTCAAAATTGTTTTTTATTTATTTTATTCCACATGTTGTTGCTACGTCTTTGCAAAAAGAACATGCAGGTACTTTATCAAATAGCACCAGTATGATAAACATTATATTTAATTCTTATTTTTGAGACCTGCTATCAGTTGGCCAGAAAGAATATAGACTTTGGGAATATGACATTGGGAATATGACATTGAGACTGTGATATCTTTTGTTATGTTTTCTTAAATTTGACCAAGATCCTTCTTATGAAGATCCTTTTTGTACTCCAATTTTGCCAAATCATCGAACTCGATATGATCAGATCACAATCATCGGTCCTGATCGGATTGATTTCCGTATTGTCCATACTACATATGTAGAACATCAATGATTAATATATACACATACACCATTTCTATAATTACATAACGAATACATTCTCGTCATGGTAGCCTCGCTTTAGTGTATCAGGACAAAAGGTATATTATATAAGGGAACAAGGATTCATGGATTTATAACGTAATTATCGAAAGTGCATGTATACTACCGTAAAACTGCAGATGGATAGGGATTCAATTGCCTCAAAAATACAAGTAAAACTTCGACGTTTCGAGCGAAGATCCTTCGTCGGGAAGTTAGTAACTTCGGGCACCCCCCCCCCTCCCTCCTCCCGTGGCTACGCCGTCCGGCCGTTTCCGACCCTACTTTCAGCACATAAAGTGGGAACCGTTCGATTTATTGGTCTTTATTAACTCCTCAAGAATGCGAAGTTCGGTATTGAAAGTCTGAAGTCGGAGGCCCATCGTCTGCACTTTGAGATCCGAAGTTTAAAGTCCCTCCACAGTTCAGTACTTTTCAGTTTATAAAGCAGGCGTCTTGACATATACGATAAAAATGTATCAATTAAATATTAACCACCGTAGCACGTGATCATCAGGTAACTTTTACTAATAATCGTAAGGGTCGCCAAGTCGTAAGGAAATCGTAAGGAAATCGTAAGTCGTAAGGAAATCGTTAAGGGTCGCCAAGGAACGGATAGTCGTGGACTCTCTGTCTTCCTTCTTCCTCCCCCCCTCCCCCTCCCCCTCCCCTAGCTCGGTCATACAGTTCATGCTCGCCGCTGCATTTAAGCCTATTAAGTTATTCACAATAATCAAACGAGCATTTTGACACTTCAACATTGTCAGCTTCATAAATTGATTATAAGACTCAGTCGGCGTAGTCGGCGAAAATTATAGTTAAACAGTCAATAAAGCAAGGCCAAACTACTTGTTTAAATAATCTCAGAGCATTTCGCTCACTATGTAAAACCAATAAAAGTTTTAAACTGTTCAACTGTTATTACTTTTTTGTCGGCTAATTAAAAATTTAGAAGTTGACATTTGCTGCGCGCAATCAATTTCCTCTAACTGCATGCAGGTGAAGTTCTTGACCGTAACGGCGTAAGGCTTTGCTGCCAATCTTGGCGAAAAACATGGCGTTATAGATTTAATCACAAGACATGTATATATAACTGGCCTGCATAGAAAAAATTATACTGAAATGAAAAAAAATTACTTGCACGAGCACGAAAAAGTAGTACATCAATTTATATCCTAATTATATCATAGTATACTCTAATGTGATATGATATGCAGCACGCGCCTTTTTATTGCACTGGCACTCAAGTCTCAAGATACAAAATAGACTAGAACTAATAAGTAATGCGTACAGACTACAGCCTACTGCATACAGTTACTATAATAAAAAGATCCTACAGGGTAAAAAAGTTTGCTGCAATACCAATGTAATGCAATTAGTTAGAACAATAATTTGTGAATATAGCTAGTGTGTGTAAAAGGCCATCTCAAAATTTCGACACTTTCCCCTATGTATAAATAATCCACTAAAAATCGCCACCTCCCTCAAAAATAGGAAGCTCTATCTCGTAAGAAGTATTGACTTTTTCAACACTTATCATTATCGTATTTTGCCAAGGGTCAGTAATGAGCCGTTTTGCGAAAAAGGTTTGCTTCATTGCGAGGGTCGCCAACTCGAATAACTGTAATGTCCTCCTAAAGTATATTTTTGCACAAACAGCAAGCCTCGATCTTTAAAATCATGCATGTGTCAGCTTTCCAAAATAGGCTAAATCTCAGCTCCTATTTTGAAGACGAAATCAAAGTCTTTTTTGCGTTCTTTCGTATCCAACTCATTTTTTACGTTCTTTCGTATCCTACCTCAATTACGAAATCGAGTTATAATCACAAAAGATCATGAGTGACCGTGGAGTGTGTTTGGAGGGGAGGGGGGGGGGGGGCACATCCGCAGGTGAATGAAGCCTATTGTTGTCGGATTATTTTAACCACTATATATCAATTACCTACCTTTTTTCTTTTTAATTGGGGATGGGGTATTCATATAAGGAAGTGTTGAAATTTTGAGATGGCCCCTAACGGTCTAACCTAGACGTATAGCTTCTTGGCAGCTTATCTACATCGTCAGAACCTTTGATAAACATGCATTTTCACGAAAACATTTACACTGTACATCTGTAGTATAGTGTAAGATGTATATGACCTTTTCAAAATATTGGACACTTTTAATTACCTTCAGGGAGGCAGATGTTTTTGCATAATTTTAATTTCCGCTAACCTTTTACTGTTTAAATGAATTATACAAAGTTATTGAGTTTTTGAAGTTCTTACACAATATATTAATAGCAAGCTAATCCTATAATATCTTTCTTTAATGTGTTTTGGTTAAGTTAGCGGGAATTTAATTCAAGTGATACAATCATTTGAACGGATAATTAGTCTATATTATATTGAACAGATGCAATTTAATTTATTCAAAATAACTACGTTGTCGTTAAATAAAACCTAAATGAATTTCAAAATATCTAGTTAGGATGCGGCGTTTTACCCAATTTGTTATATTTAATTAATTATGAAGCTTTATGTTTCCTTTATAATTTAATTCTACTTCCAAAAAGCGGTGCAGTAATAATATAATGTTAGTAAAGATGGTATGATTTAAATACGAGACATTTTTAATTTTTGTTAAACGCGGACATGCAAATTCTTGTATAGACCTTAACTTTATGGCATCATGAACCGAGACTGATTTCTATGTGATATAGGCATTACTGCAGGCTATATATGAAGCTTCTTTGACAAAATTATTTTTCCAACCGTTGTCACTGTGTAAGTGTAATGTCTTTTTGTAGGGCTAATATTCAAATATGATTTGTTGGGCACAAATACATTCAAAACATGTTGTTGAGTAAGAACACAAAAATCTATATAGCATTATTATTATAGGTCCAGTTTGAGCAAATAAATAAATATTTGTTATTCTAATATACGTCGTTTTCTCACCGTCAGAATTCGGTAAAATCTTCCCCCAAAGTGCATGAAATGGCATTTCAGAGACTCTAAATTTCACAATTTTCTGGGGCAGCATGCCCTCGTACCCCCTAGAGATCTCGTGGATTTGGCACTCGATACCGGTTAGCGATTGACCGATAGTCGGTATCGGGCCGATTTTTGCCTTATCGGTAGACAATCGGAATCGGTAGAATTATCTATATTTCCGATTGTCTAAAACCGATTGTTGAGAAAATACACACCTTAAAAAATATATGCATTGCACGTAATTGATATACACGTTGCGTTTTAACGCAATATGTTAAATTAATGCGTAAAGCGTGCCATTTTAACGGTTTTAACGATCTTTGATTGCAGTAACATGTTATGTTGGAAATTATCGTTAAAAAATCGACATGAATGACGTCACCTTTACTCGGTCGACTGGTATTATGACGTCATTTTAAAATCGGTATCGGGTGGATTGTGGCATGAATAATCGGTAATTTCCGATTGGTGCATAATCGATCAATCACTGATACTTGTGCCTGGTCCCATGGGCCTATAGGGATGATAATGCGCAGGTCCACTGTGAAGAGCAACGAACAGAATATTCCTTGAGGACGAGGATGGTACGTTTTTAGGTACATTTTTACGTTCTTTTCTGACCATGCACACCCTTTTCGTCAAGCAAAGCGACAAGATCGTAATTAAAAAGGATCTATAATTCAAGCAGCAGAAAAGGAACCAACTAGAAAAGGAGCCAACTTAAATTTGACTGCATCGTTGAATTCTTTATCAATCCACTTATACCCCTTAATCTTTTTCAGCTAGTTCAGACTCAAACCATGGCGGATTATAGACAATTATACACGAAACATTGATATTTATTGCATTACGTTGGCAATATTCATTTTATAAGTATCGATCATATAAGTATAATCAGTTGAAGAAAAGAATGTTACATAATGACTAATGTTGTTGTTGTTGATTACAAAGACTTGGTTGTTGATTTTGTGGTTATTTTTCAGTTGTTAATGAGATTGCTGTTGTTGTTGTTGTTGTTGTTGTTGTTGTCGCTGCTGCTGTTGTTGTTGTTGTTGTTGTTGTTGTTGTTGCATGGCGTTGTTGGTGAGAATTAATGTTGATTATAATTGTGCATTTATTTGCTGTCCCTTATATATATTATTACTAATTCCATATCAAAAGAACAATAGAACATGCAATAATAGACCAGACACATAAAGTTGGTTTTGGTATACATGCGCAGATAATGATTCCCTATGATGCGCATATAGTCAAATGCAAATTAGTATTCAGGCCTTGTATCCACGTACACCCAACTGCAGTTTGCATTGACCAGCACATCATGGGAAATAGTTCAAATTTTAATTTAGATTCAAAATCTAGACATTTTCTGTTCAGTCATGAGCATAAGTATATATAACCTTAAAAAATAGAACCTTAAGAAAATGAAACATTAGACACTTCAAATTAAATGCAGCTGCAGATATGTTCATGTACTTTATTGCTTCAGCAGCAATATAATATGTATCGAAGTAAATATATATTGCTTAGTTTATGACAATGAAGACGCGGCAAAACGGATACACTCGAATTAATTTGTGAAATTTTAGCACCGTTATGAACTATATTTTCATTAAATTGCGTGTAAAATAAGAGATTATGTACACATATTATACAGAAAATTAAAGTTGTTTACACGGAGAAAAAAAATTAACAAAAAATGTCACGATATTCAAGCTCCATCTGACACGCACGGAAACCATTTTGTTTCACGCTTGATTAAACGCCAACACACCAGATGTAAAGTAATAAAACAAGTTAAATTATAATAAAATAAGACGCTCATACATTCACTATACTTCTAGCGCACTCTTTTAACAACTCAAAAGCAATATACCATTTGATTATTGCATATCCATCGAGTTCTAAGTTTTATTTCCTACAGCAAGATATTTTTTTAAAAAATCTACTATTGTAGACATGGAAACGAATATTTTTCAGAATTGCGTTCAGAGAAGCGTATATATAGAGTAAAATCACTTTTCTTGGCACGGTAGTAGAACTATTTGACCATAGCATTATTGTCCATCAAAATATCAGATTTTTAAAATTTTTCGTTACAGTTTACTTTTTAATGTAAATTAAAATGGACCATTTACGCTTTTTTCCGACATCACGGAAACTGCCGCAAGTGTTATATGAAAACAAGCTTCAATTTTAATACGACATCATGAGCCGGAATTCCGTCCATATACTACTCCCCATCTTTTTTCCCATCTCCCTTTTCCGCATGATCATGCAGATCGGACCTTAACCTCAACATTCGATTAATTCAGTTTTAAATTTATCTATTTGTGCTTGCAGAATCCTTATCAAGTAAAACATGAAAATCTCTCAGGTGGAGATTGGAAAATGTATTATGTAATATACTTTATGCATGCTGAGTTTCCACGCATAGACGGTAAAATATTATTAGGTAATTGATGAGTGTTAAGGACTTTAAACGGAGATAATATCTGAAAGATAAGATTGTAAAATACAAACCCTTTTGAAAACAACCGTCAAGAGGTCAAGCGATTTATAAATTTTAATTTCTTTGTCTCTGACATTGTCCGATTTCAAGTTTTAATGCTCAATTGTTCATTTCAAAATATCATGACACTGGCACAAAACTTTCTTAAATCATTTTTCATCACCTGTCTTCATGCAATCCTTTTCTCCAAATCAAGCATTCAGACTTTCGTTGTGTTCAAACATACGTCAGTCGATCGTTATATTTCATTAAAAATTTAGAAATTAAGAATGACTTTTTAGACTTCAATTTCATGTCAACTAACAAAAACGTCATATATAATCCCATTTTGGGATAATCACATAGTATTTTATGATTATTTTCCTTGCATAATTGCCAGTGTTATACATATACACTTCAGTTAATTTCTCTAAATGTCTTATCTAAAACAGGAAAAAAATCATCAGCAAATTTGTAGTCCTCCACGACATCCAAATCAACTTTTTAGCCGCAATTTCGTTAGAAAACTGCCGTTTGGACTTCTGCATAATCAGATTACAGCCAGTTATTAACGTAACTGGGGCGTAATAATTAAAGTTTGGAGCGATTTTTGTCTAATAATGTCAATTTTCGGCAGGTGAAACACGTTTACTCCCGCGGCTAGCTTGGAAAAAAACTGAAAAAAAAATCAATAGAACTGTTGTACATTTTATACAATGTACTGGCAAATTTACGAAAACCAAAATTAATTCATGAGAGATCTTTTCAAGTCGATACATTAACAATCGAGTAGCGAATACATCTGTTGTTCCAATATTTTATAAAACAGAATGATACAAAGTCTGATTGATGGTAATGTGACACTAATTAGACGCTTATGCATTTTGAAAATCGTCCATTATTAATGAAACGGCTTTTCGGCTAAAACAATGATCAACAATCCGGTAATAACTTTTCCCACGTGTGCAAAGCGGCAGGGGTGATGCTGCACATACGACGCAGACATTTGTTTAAGTGGAATTTAAGGCGCGCAGTTAGGCAAGAGGACTAATACATTTTATATACGCAGTGATACTAAGATGAGCTCCTTCCTCATAGACTCGCTCATTCAGAGCAATCAACGTAAAACCTCTCCAGTATCTCCGACTGTCAGAGAACCTACACCGTACAACATGATGGCCTGTACATATTGCTGGACACCACAACATGATAAGATCAATTTTTGTCAGTTATGCATTCCTGGAACATCAACCATAAGTTCCTATGCCATGCCAGTAAGGAGTCAAGTAATCCCAGGAACTGCCATACGTCAAAATATGATTACTAAGGATTACCCGCGACTGCAAAATCCTTTTCGCAGCCCATCTGAAAGCGGGATGCACTTAGATTCAAATTTTGGTAAGTTAAAAAACACTGTAGCTACGTATAAAGACTATATAGATAAGAGTTAGTAGATTTGTATCTTTTTAAAAGAGATTATTCAAAGATACATCAATTCACTCATTTTTATATGGAAGGATGACAATTTATACCTGACAGTTTTTTTATTTATCATGAATTTCTAATTTTTCTTTTAAAAATAAAATGATTTATAAGATATCTTATGGAAACAGAGCCAGAGGAATCGTTTGTCGAACTAAATATGTTAAACTGTCAATTTTTGTATTTCCTGAAACGTGCTTTTTGAAAGTCTATATTCTTCAAGCTAGGAAATATTGTGGCCGTGAGACTCACAAGTTTTACGCTGCATCTTTACTTCGTTTTCAGTATTTTATGTTTCGCATTATCTTGTACATTATTTTCACACGTTTATCTGTTAAATCTTTTGTACAAATTTAATTTTAGTCTGTGTTTTCTATGCTCCAGAAACAAAGCTATCAGATCGAACATCTATATTATCTTAAGTTTTTATATGTCTTAATTTTCTTTGTCCAAACCGCGCTCATAACAAATGGAACACTTTGTATACAACATGCTTGAGGCACAACTAAAATGGTGATAAAGCAATGTAATAAACTACACTTCCGTACAGTTCCGTTCATAGCTTTCAAATCGGTTCGTATATGATTGGCGGATAGATAGATCTTAATTGTACCTAACATGCAATGAGTTAAAACGCAAGAGGAGGAAACGCCCTCTATAGTTTTGTACAAGTTGATAACGTTAGTCAATTTTTTTCATTGCAACAAATTAACAAGATACAATATTGCGTCAGCAAATAAGCAAAACTAAAATTGCAACCTCTGTTCATATACCATTAAATACACAGGATGAGGAAACTCTACAATTTCTCGAGTCCCTGAAGACAGACACCTTGCAAAACAAGCTTCTGGAATGCCAACTATTGAACTGTACTTGAACGCTTTTTGGTATACTAGAGGTTTCTTTTTTCACATTATGTAACATGCATATATATATCTACATATGCAATTTTGTTATTCATTTTCAGGTCGAGATGAAGACCTATGTGGCAAGGGCAACTCGCGTACAAAAAGAATACGAACTGCTTACACAAGCCTTCAGTTGTTAGAGTTGGAAAAAGAATTCAGCAACAACCGTTATCTTTCTCGTTTGAGAAGAATTCAGATTGCCGCCATGTTGGAATTAACCGAAAAACAAGTGAAAATTTGGTTCCAAAATCGTCGTGTGAAGTGGAAGAAAGACAGAAGAATGTCAAACTCTGCAAGTATGTCCTGCAGCTCAGGCATCACTGTCAAGTGTGAAGCACAAACTATTGATGATGACATTGATTTTACCTCTAAGGAAGACAGATAGACATTTGTCAGACCAATCTCAATGTCCAAAATTTTAAGTCCTTAATTAAAAGTGTCTATATACTGAACTACAATAACAGCGGAAGAAGAAAGAAATGCGCCATATATTCCAACAGACAAACATAATTTAAGTGACTCATAAATAAGAAGACTATATATATATATATATATATATATAGACGTGGAGTAGATCTTAGTTTTAACTATAATGGATACAAAGATATATAATCTTAGTTATTGAGAACATAAGCTCATAAATTTGTATATAAAAGCGCCAAAACCAAAGGTCAAAATTTTCCATATACGCTTTGTCGTCAAAGATTGAGGTGCATGCATGGAATTCTATAATGGCTATAATTGCCTTGTTTTTACATTTATCATAATATTTAGAGGTTTAATTTGTCGTTGCATAGTTCGACATTTCGAGCATAACTATAGGTCCTTTTTGTCCTATACTACTCACTTACGCAAAGCGTTTATACATTCGTCAAAACGGAAAACAGGCTACTAACAGTGAAACTATCAACTTTGATTTTGGCTGCAGGTTACTGCATGTTAGCCGTATCATTCTTTCGTGATCCAGCTGTAGCAAAATGGCTCATTTATTTATCAGTGTAATTTATCTTTGTTTCATGGACAGAAAGTGAAATAATTCTATAGTGAAGAAATTGTATGCATGTATGTACATATAC